TTTTTTACTACGATAATCGATTTTTCCTTTATGATATCAAAAAAATAATGCAAATCTAGTAGATTATTGCTGGTAATGGAAAAGAGCACTAGCTTTTAACGGAAAGATTTCAAAATCTATAGAAATTATTTTTTATAAAATATGCCATATTTGTATTAGACATTTTCTTCAACGGGGGTCAAATGGCGCCGTGGCTTAGTTGGTTAAAGCGCCTGTCTAGTAAACAGGAGATCGTGAGTTCGAATCTCGCCGGGGCCTATACAGTGTTCTGATATTTTTGTATTTATTTCTGGAAATGCATAAACTGGACTTTGATATTTTTATGGAAAAACAAATCGAAAAAATACGAGGGGGAAACAATTTGAAATATCTGAGAAATGACATGGCCTTTGATTGAAAAATTTCCGATTTTAGCCACGGATGGACATAGACCTCACAATTTAGTACAGTATTTGTATGCTTATAGTGATTGAATTTACATTTTATTTAATCCGCTGTGTTTTCATATCAAAATAGCTTTGATTTTAAATCGAAGCACATTCTATAACTTATTTTGTGAACTCAATGCGGCCAACAAACTTAAAATTCCCATAATAGTTTTCCAAACCAACTGTTTGTGAATGAAATTATTTCGCATGTTCGCCAAACGGCGCCGTGGCTTAGTTGGTTAAAGCGCCTGTCTAGTAAACAGGAGATCGTGAGTTCGAATCTCGCCAGGTGGCAAGTGTATAATTTTGTTAAACGAAATTTGTAGGAACTGCAAAAACAGCTGCCCGAAAAATTGTTAGCAAATGCAACTCTGTACGTTCGCAATATAGAGAAGGGGGGTATGGTAATTTTTAAGATATTGTGTGGAACATTTTACGTGAAAATCTCGGTTGGCCTCTTTCGCAAATGGTTTCGAAAGGCATTTCTTGCTACGTCGATGCTGTGTGAAATGAATTCTGTAATGTTATTTTAGTTGACTGACAGTGGAAGAAGATTATAAAAGAAAACGCCGACAAGAATTTGTGTAGGATAAATTGAGAGAAATTATGGAGATTAAGATGTCCTGCCAACAATTTTTGGAAGACTCATCATTTTTCGTTTGTCTCTGAAAATTTAAAATACCAGAATATTTCAACTTAATTTTACCAGATACTCATACCAGAATATTTCAATTTAACCCTATTTTTTAGACTACTTTTCCCAAGTGTCATCGTTCGATTGAAGTGCCTATATATGGGGTCACTGGATTTATAAATTTAAAATATTATCATCCATTGAGATAAGATACAAGACAATTGAAGATTAGACTATATATTGATTATATAGATCGAAGATGTTCCATAACTTATGTTTGGAAAAGTCATGAAAAGCCATTAGCGGAGGAATAACAGAGGTCGCGTGGCGCCGTGGCTTAGTTGGTTAAAGCGCCTGTCTAGTAAACAGGAGATCGTGAGTTCGAATCTCGCCGGGGCCTACAAGTCCATTCGAATTGGATTTGAAACGAGTTTTTTTATTTTTATATATTCTCATAAAACAGTTACTCATATCTCCAAAAAGTAAATTTCTGAGAAAATTCCATAAAATTTGGTGAAAAATATAAAAATTGTAACATTTCCGTTGAAAATTCAAACTTGAATGGACCTCAAAAACAATTCTGGTTAATTTTTTTTATTAATTTTTTTCTAATATCTTTTAGTCTATCCTCACATATTTGCTAATAAAAAAATATATGAAAAATATTAAAATTATGTGATTTTTGTTTAAAGTTTAAACTTGGGATTATTTTGTTTGTATTTTTTATCTTTCTCTGATATTTTACTTTTCATTTTGATATGTTTTTGTTAGTAATCATTGTCATAGTGCAGTATTTCTGCGCTTAGAATATTCGGAATTTATTTTTTATTCAAGTCGCTTGACTTTTGTCTCAAAATCCCTGTGATTTCACAGAAAAGCTCATTTTATAACTGATTTGTTGAACTCAATGAACCAACATCACTTAAAATTCGCATAGCTGTTTTCTAATGCACACTATTTGTGTATGAAAAAATGTGGCATCTACGCCAACGGGCGCCGTGGCTTAGTTGGTTAAAGCGCCTGTCTAGTAAACAGGAGATCGTGAGTTCGAATCTCGCCGGGGCCTATTCAGTGTTGCGTTTTTTTTTTCTATTTGTACTTGAAAAATGGAAAATTTGTAATACTTGAAATATAATAAACTGGAAAATTTATGGAAATAAACTGGAAAATTTATGGAAATTGAGTGAAAAAAAATTTTTTATTGTTCTCAGTGCGTAACATTTGTCTGGCCAATTTAGGATATTAGTATGCAGTTGTGGGTAATTTTTCTCCACTGCTGAGTTGTGAGTACAGTCTTTGAATGTCTTTCACCCGCCGATTAAGTGGGGAAAAAGTTTTCCAAATTAAATTCATTGTTCATAATTCTGTTTGGAATATATTTTTTATTAATTTTAAGTGGTTTTTACATTAAAATTCCTCCAATTTCAAATCGAAACACATTTTATAACTGATTTGTTGAACTCAATGTACCGATACACATTAAAAATTCGCATAACACTTTTCCAACACAAACTATATGTGAATGAAAATATGTCGCATGTTGGCCAAATGGCGCCGTGGCTTAGTTGGTTAAAGCGCCTGTCTAGTAAACAGGAGATCGTGAGTTCGAATCTCGCCGGGGCCTATTCAGTGTTGCGATTTGTTTTTTGTATTTACGCTTGGAAAATGGGGAATTTTCAAATGTAGAAATAGCATCAAATTTACATTTTATAGGACTGAATGGAAGATATATAGCAGAGAAAAATTTGACGAATGTAAAGGAACGGACTGAAAATTAAATGACGAAGTGACATCTTCGCTATTTATTCATATCTTTTATAAAAGAAATTTAAAACTTATATTATTTGTTTAGTTGTCATAGGGTCTCGAGAATTTATTATCCTTATTTTGCTTTGACTAAAACCCGTTCATCAATTATTATTTTATTATTATTATTTATCTTTGAATGTCTTTCACCCGTCGAATAAGTGGGGGAACAAGTTTTCCAAATTGAATTCATTGTTCATAATTTTGATTGGAATATATTTTTTATTCATTTCAAGCGGTTTTTATGTCAAAACTCTCCTAACTTCACATCAAAAAACATTCTATAATTGATTTGTTGAACTTAATGCACCGACACACACCTAAAATTCGTATTACACTTTTTCAATACAAATTATTAGTGAATGAAAATATGTCGCACGTTGGCCAAATGGCGCCGTGGCTTAGTTGGTTAAAGCGCCTGTCTAGTAAACAGGAGATCGTGAGTTCGAATCTCGCCGGGGCCTATCGTAAATGGAATTTTTTTTTTCTAATATTTTCCATTTAATTTCACTCCGCCCTCTAATTTTAGAAATCAATGCTAAATTTGTTTACCCAAAAATAAATTAGCCTCCTCTATACAACATCGGAATTAAATTACCGAGGCTAGCGAAAAACAACTAATTAAAAAGTGTTTTATGAAAATCAAAACACAATTTAATTAAATTCAAATAACATGTCCTTATACTCTGTCCCAATAACACTGCCACAATTCCACCTCCTTATGCATTTCCCAGCCACGCTGAATTGATGTGATTAATTCCGCAACATTTTCCCAAAACGACGAAACAAATATCGAAAAATCCCCCATAATACAAAAGTAATTAAATTAGTATTGTTATAAATTGAATTTACTTTGAAATTGATGATGGACATCCGGTTGAGATTTTGTGTTGGTTGTAGTCGGGAGGAGGGAAAAAAGAAGATAGCATGGCCATAATCCCCCCATAAAATTACAAAAGCTGCATGGGAAAAAAGTGCCCTGTTTATCCTTGTTTTGTTTAGTCTCTAGGGTCATCAGTATCCTCATCGTCATCATCAACATCATGGCAGGATAATTGATATTGAGGTTTTCAGTGCGCTGTTTTTTTGTGTGTGTCTCTCTATCTCTCGTTTCTGTTAAGTTGATTATTGCGGAACAATATGGATAAAGATTTGGCTTAATGGAGTGACCACTACCATTGTTGGTGTTTCTTTTTTTGTTGTCAAGGGTTTCATTACGGAAAATAGAGAAAACAAAGACAAAAAAAAAAGGAGGAAAGAAATTGAAAACACCAAGAATTTACATGTTGTTGAAAAAGGCAAGCATGAAGTGAAATATTTAGGCAAATCTGGAGATTTGTTAAATAGAATTGTAAGATAATTTGTGGGGTGAATTTTTGGATTTCGATGGACAGTAACATATCCAAGATTTACATGGGATACCTTAATAAAAATCTGAATTTGAATATTGGAGATGAAAAATAAGACTGGGATCTCTATGGTAATTTTCGTAATGAAAGTCAAGCACGAACACTTATTTAGTTCTCCAAACAAGGCCTTATTCATTTCAAGATTTAATGGTCCTTCACTACATTTGTGAATAAGCTGTTCCAAGCTTCCTCGACCCTTTAGAAGTCTAACAACAAAGCTAGATACCTATTCTTAAAATCTCTTCAAAAATCAAAACTAAAAGCTTTGATACTCCAAAAGTTTTCTTGAAAAAATCGTCTCTTGAAGCTTTCATGCCCCTGTGGGTAAATATCCAAGATTTACATGGAATACCTTAATAAAAATCTGAATTTGAATATTGGAGATAAAAAATAAGACTGGGTTCTCTGGGGTTTAAGACGTTGAGGGTAAATTTCCTTAAGAAAGTCAAGCACCAACACTTATTTACTTCTCCAAACAAGGCCTTATTCATTTCAAGATTTAATATTCCTTCACAACATTTGTTAATAAGCTGTTCCAAGCTTCCTTGATCCTTTAGAAGTCTAATTACAAAGCTAGATTAGTCGTCTTAAAATCTCTTCAAAAATCAAACTTTAATGCTTTGATGTTTCTCCAAAAGCTTTCCTGCAAACGTCGTCTCTTGAAACTTTCACGCCCCTGTCGTTAAATATTTCTTTTGTATTTTAATTTTTAGAAAAACTTACCGTTTTTACAACTTGATTTAATATAGCCGCCTTATCCGGTTTGCTCGATGTTGCATCACCGCGTCTGTTAAGCTGTAAAAATTCGGATAGTTGCTCGATATAATTGTTTTCCAATTCACGACGCCGTTTCTCATTGTTGCATTTGTTGATTTGGGATTGAGGCTGAAACAAAAATCGGATTTGAGATAAATTATTATAAATAAAATCAGGGGCAATTTTTATATAAAAGCTATACAAAACGTAAAATTTCCGAAAGTTATATATAATACGAACTCAAAAAGGCAAAATTTGGGGAAATGAAAAACGTGGCAAAGGCGAAAAAAGTACTTGAAATACTCGGACTTACCCCTTCACCGGGGCTATTCCACAAAGTGGACAGATATGATCCATTTTCTGTACCAATTATCCCGGATATAGTGACACGAACTCAAAATGCCGAAATTCGCCAAATTAAATGGAAAACAAGGCCAAATCATAAAAAAAAAACTAGAAATACTCAGAGTTATCCTTACTTGGGGCTATACCATAAATGGACCAATATAACCCATTTTCTGTACCAATGATTCTGGATGTAATCCATAGATCTCTTTCGAATTCCAAAGCTTTTCCACAGTGTTCCCAAATAAATCTCAAACTATAGGGGTCCCTTTGTATACGGTCAGAACTATATAAAGACCTTAACAAAGTTTGGCCTAAGAACCTGAAACTCTTCTGGGATTTTGAGCTACAAACTAGTACTATCAAATCTACTTGGAATTTTCCACAACTCTGACTTACTGTTGGACAGAGAAATATATACGAATAGGTCTAGCAAATTCCGAATAAGTGCCAAAAATGCTGTATACAGAATAAGATGAAAATCTGCAACCATCTTCAGACTGCTGCCATTTCTCGTCCGACAGCTGTTAAAATGATTCCAGTGACAGCTCATTATTTTGTTTGCAAGAGTACAAAAGAATTTTGGTGAGAATTTTCCAGAAAAAAAGTTATTCGTGATGGAATTCAAACGTGATAGTGTGATTTCTTTATATTTGGCTGGAAAACCCCAAGTGGCTATCGTTAGAGCACTCTAGCTTTTAAATGTGAATAAATCTTTTGTGTCTCGTCATCGCTTGCCATCGCTCGTTACCGTGACACTACTGGTAGCGTAGCCCGACGTCAAAGAAGTGGACGGAAGGAAACAGCAACATCAGCAGCAATGGTGCGAAAAGAAAATAAGTGGCCGAAAAATGGCTCTTGAGCTGAACTTATCGCAATATTCGGCATTCGGAAAATATTGAAAAATTAGCTCGAGGTAAAACCATTGAAAGTTCAAAATGTCAAAGACTTCCACCGAAAGAGAAAGAAAATAGACTCAAAAGAGCTAAAGAGTTGCTTCGCTTGGGCAAAAGTGTTAAACTGCCGAATTTGGTTTTCTCCGATGAGAAAACATTCGTTGTCTAGCAGTTTGTAGACAAACAAAATGTTCGTGTTTACTTGCCAAAAAGGTCAGCTGAAAATGTGCACTTTCGGTTGGCCAACAGAACTTAAGCGCCGGCCATGGTGATGGTGTGGGCCCCATAAAAGCCGATGGCCGCTCTCCGCTCGTATTAATCGACCGTGGCATCAGCAAAAATGCCGAATATTATCGCGAAAATATTCTGGAGGTTGTATTAAAGCCTTGGGCACGCAAACATTTTGGCCGTTGACCTTGGACCAGCACCATCGCACTCAACACGCGCCGCCCAAGAATGGTTACTAAATGAGGTTCCTAGCTTTATTTCCAGAGCACAATCGCCACCAAAATCTCCGGATACCAATCCGTTGGACTATTGTGTCTGGAGTATTTTGGAAAGCACTTGGCACTAAAAAATATCAAAGTGTCGATCAACGCAAGCAAGCTCTTCGGCGCGAATGGACCAAAATACCGCAGAGCAACATTCGGACAGCGTGCCAAAGGTGACCAATTCGAACAAATCTAAAATTACTCTAAAATTTGATGCTATTTCCGACATTTTCTGCTTTTCAATGAAAACTTGCTAAACGCCAATACACGTGATCTTGTTTTATCTGGGCTTTTTACCAGATTTTTATACCCTACACCACAAGGTGGTCAGGGTATTATGTCTTTGTGCATTTGTTTGTAACAGGCAAAAGGAAACGAGATAGACCCATAGTTCCTTTTGATGATCTGCATAAAATCCGTCTGTCCATGTATTTTTGTAAACAAAGTACAGTTCGCATTTATTGCCCATCCAGATGAAATTTTGCACAAATCATTTGTTTGACCCTATTGAGAATCGGTCAAAATTTAGATATAGCTCCCATATATATCTTCGTCCGATTTGCCTTTTATTGTGCACCAAACGTGTAATATCAGTCCGAATAGTATGGAATTTTGCACGTACCGTCAAATTGGACCTGAAAATAAGTGTGCCAAATTTGATCAAATCGGTTCGGATATAGCTATAGCTCCCATATATATATATTGTTCATCCGATTTGTTATTTTTGTCCTCCGCAGTCGTAATATGCCCTCTGTAACAACAATATTTCGGGAAATATATGAAATACAGCTCAGAAATACATTTGCTAAATTTTATGGAGATCGGTTCAGATTTGGATATAGCTCTCATATATAACTTCGTCAAATTTACCTTTGATTGTGCACCAAACGTCTAATATTTGCCCAAATTGGATGAAATTTGGCACGACAGAATTGAGTCTAGAAGCTAGCATGTCAAATTTGGTGAAGATCGGTTCAGATATAGCTATAGCTCCCATATATACTGTTCATTCTATTTGTCATATTTGTTACCCACAGCCGTAATATGCACTCCGTAACAACGATATTCAGGGAAATATATCAAATACAGCTCAGAAATATATTTGCCAAATTTTATAGAGATCGATTCCGATTTGGATATAGCTCCCAAATATATTTTTATCCGATTTCAAATTAATTGTGCACCAAATGGGCAATACAAGTCCGAATTTAAAAGATACAAATGATTCGGCATATTTAGTCCTTTGAACTTTAAATTATAATTATAATCATAGCGTGTATGATTGAAATCTCCCATAGAAACGTTTAATTGTTATGTGGAGCTTTACTAAATTAGCAAAGTGGTGTAGGGTATCATAAAGTCGGCCCCGCCTGACTTTAAGACTTTCTTTACTGTTATGGGAATGATTTTCCAATAACTCTCTGGGCTTTAAATGCGAGTTGATTTATTGTTCTTCAGGTGTTTAAATTTTTTTTTTAAATAAATTTTGTCAATACCCTAAAATGTCCTAAAATTCCACAATTAAAGCCCACAATAATTGTGGCATTTTAGGACAATTTTTTTAAGGCTCTTTAGGGTTTGAAGCACGAATTTTTGTTTTGCCAGTCGGGAATTAAACATTTGTGAGCCCATTCATGGCATTGTGCGTAGATTTGTGCCTCTTTCTTTGACCCTCTCTTTTAAAAGCTCGCACTCCTTCTTTGTGTTCAGTTGGACAGATAGAAAACCAGGGCGTCTAAAGAGTAATTTAGGCAGCTAAATTCGTTTGCGTTCGAGGCTGCTCATAGCTGCCTTTAGGACTTTAAATGTGGTTGGTTAGGACAAATTTTTGAAGGCTCTTCAGTCTTCAAATCTCGAATTTGTCCATTGCCGGTCAAACATGTATTTTAAAGGCTATTCAGGGTATTATGCATGGCTTGGTCTACTTTCCCTCTTCAATTCTCTCTCCCAAAAGCTTACATTGCTTTAGGCTAACTTTCTTCGTTTTAATTAGACCTGGATAGAAATTCCGGATTTTCAGAGGGAATCTAAACAAAATAGAGTAAAATTTGATATCTTATCTTTCTCTCTCTGTCTATCTTAATACTCATAGAGAACCACTCAGTGACAATATTTTTACCCCTTACTCTACCCCTTATTTTTACCCCTATTTTTACTCTCAAGTAGAAGCTTTCAATATGAAAAAGCTTAGGGGAAATTGCGGATTTGAACTTACCAAATTGGCTTTGGAATCGTTTTTCCTGCGTATCTTACGATTCGACGACGTCGTTGAATTGGTTGAGATCGGTGATGCCACCGCATTCATAATGGCAGGACGTTGGAGAGCGGCAGCAAAATTGGCTGCAGCAGCTTTATGCAGTGCAGCTTGTGCCAATTGGGGATGCTGATGATGATTGTGTAGCTGTTGTTGCTGCTGCTGTTGTTGTTGTAAATTTTGTGTTAACAAATTGTTATTGTTGTTGTTAAATAAACTATTGGAATTCTGAGTGTTCAGAAATAAATTTTGTTGCTGTTGTTGTTGCTGCAGATTGAATTGTTGCTGTTGTTGTTGTTGCTGCTGCTGCTGCAAAGCAGATATACGGGCCAACAACAAATTTGCGGCAGCAGCTGTATTTGGCGAAACACGATCCGTGGCTGTGATTGGCGCCGTTGCTGCTGCTGCTGCTGTTGCGGTCGATGATGATGATGAGTTGGAGGAGGAGGTGGATGACGACGACGACGATGATGAAGATGTCGACGACGAAGAGTTTAAAGAGGTATTGCCGTTGTTGGTGTTGCTGGTGGTGTTTGTGTTATTGTTGCTGTTGTTATTAAGATTGTTGTTGTTCAAGGTGACAGCCCCTCCACCGCCTCCCACACTACCTCGACTTCCAATAGTGGTGGGGAGGGGTACAACACCGGCTGATGTGGGTACGACCGGTGCCAGCTGACCTAACACTGATGCTCCAGTATTGTTGGAAACAGTTACAGCAGCTGTTGCTGCCGCCGGCGATGAACGTGGCAGATTGCAAATGTTTGTACGCCCGTTCCCCGGAGTTTGCCGACCGCCAATGGGGCTAATGGCCCCCTCTGCCGCTGGCGACTTTGTGGATATGGTATTCGTTGCTGTGGCGGCCGCCGTTGACTGGGTCCTTGAGGCAGTGCTAATGTTGCCGGCGGCGTTCGAAGCAATTGTTGTGCTGTTGTTTGTTGTTGCTTTGTGGGGAGAATAGCTGAGGCCGCCTCCGCCGCTGTTGATGTTGTTGTTGATTTTGTTGCTAGTGTTAATTTTGCCAAGGGAATTTGCGTTGGCTGCAATGGTTGCACCAAAGGTGTTTGACGAAAATGTTGTTGTTGTAGCTTTAGCGTTTGGCGAGAGAGATGATGGTGACGACGACAATGTTGCCCAATGGTCTGGTAAATCACATGGGCCAAGCCTGAAATTTGATAAAAAAAGAAAAAGAGGAAAATAAATATTAGACATTTTTTTAAAGAAAAATACGATATTGAAAAATATGAAAATAGTCTAAAGAATAAATTTTGAAAAAAAAAAAAAATTTTGAGTGAAAACAATTTTTTGTCTGGGATTTTCAAGACCTTCTTCTGTGGACAATAGCAGCCTAGCAGCACTTCTATAGGCTCAGCCCAAGACCACCAGCTCTTCTATGGGGTCATAGAAGACCACTAGCTCTTCTATGGGGTCATAGAAGACCACTAGCTCTTCTATGGGGCCATAGAAGACCACCAGCTCTTCTATGGGGCCATAGAAGACCACCAGCTCTTCTATGGGGCCATAGAAGACCACCAGCTCTTCTATGGGGCCATAGAAGACCACCAGCTCTTCTATGGGGCCATATAAGACCACCAGCTCTTCTATGGGGCCATAGAAGACCACCAGCTCTTCTATGGGGCCATATAAGACCACCAGCTCTTCTATGGGGCCATAGAAGACCACCAGCTCTTCTATGGGGCCATAGAAGACCACCAGCTCTTCTATGGGGCCATAGAAGACCACCAGCTCTTCTATGGGGCCATAGAAGACCACCAGCTCTTCTATGGGGCCATAGAAGACCACCAGCTCTTCTATGGGGCCATAGAAGACCACCAGCTCTTCCATGGGACCATAGAAGACCACCAGCTCTTCCATGGGGCCATAGAAGACCACCAGCTCTTCTATGGGGCCATAGTAGACCACCAGCTATTCTATGGGGCCATAGAAGACCACCAGCTCTTCTATGAAGTCATAGAAGACCACCAGCTCTTCTATGGGGCCATTGAAGACCACCAGCTCTTCTATGGGGCCATAGAAGACCACCAGCTCTTCTATGGGGCCATAGAAGACCACCAGCTCTTCTATGGGGCCATAGAAGACCACCTGCTCTTCTATGGGGCCATAGAAGACCACCAGCTCTTCTATGGGGCCATAGAAGACCACCAGCTCTTCTATGGGGTCATAGAAGACCACCAGCTCTTCTATGGGGTCATAGAAGACCACCAGCTCTTCTATGGGATCATAGAAGACCACCAGCTCTTCTATGGGGTCATAGAAGACCACCAGCTCTTCTATGGGGCCATAGAAGACCACAAGCTCTTCTAGGGGGCCATAGAAGACCACAAGCTCTTCTAGGGGGCCATAGAAGACCACCAGCTCTTCTATGGGGCCATAGAAGACCACCAGCTCTTCTATGGGGCCATAGAAGACCACCAGCTCTTATATGGGGCCATAGAAGACAACCAGCTCTTCTATGGGGCCATAGAAGGCAACCAGCTCTTCTATGGGGCCATAGAAGACAACCAGCTCTTCTATGGGGCCATAGAAGACAACCAGCTCTTCTATGGGGACATAGAAGACCTCCAAGATTCTATGGGCCATATAAGTCCTCCAATTGTTCTGTTGGACCATAGAAGACCTCCAGCTCTTCTTTGGGGCTATAGAAGACCTCCTGCTCTTCTTTGGGGCTATAGAAGACCTCCTGCTCTTCTTTGGGGCAATAAAACCCTTTCAAAGGACAAATTTGATTATTTTCGATATCTTAGTTATTGTTTTATTATTGGACTTTTTTGACACTATACTTCATTCATAATATTTTTCACCTTGTTTTTCACTTTCACAATTTTCCCAGCATTTTTTTTTCCAATTCTCAAATTAAACCACACGTCGTCCTCCATAGAACCCCCATCTATGTTCTAGCGCTTTATCACAAACATTTTAAACGTTTGACCATATTCTGTCTCACCAAACCTGCATGTTTTCCTTATCAAAAATGTGGAACTCAATGCTTCGCCACCACATTGTGGCTGTATGTGAAAGGCGGTGGTGGCGAGCGTTTGTTTGCTTACGACAAAACTTCCTTTGTTTAACCCATTCAATGAATACATTTATCTGTGAAATAATATAGTTTGTTTTCGTTGTTGTTTTTTTTCAAAATTACAATGTTTCATTCAATTATAAAAACCTCCTCTAGTTCTAACAATAACACCATAGGTTGTCTATTGGATTTATGTCTAGTGTGTGGTTAGCAATTTAATTAAACGTTGTTGCTTTTGGTTTTTTTTCTAATATTTTTTTTGCTGTGGTATTGGAGAGACATGGTAATTACATGTTTTTTTTTTTTTGTTTTCGAAAATACGCCAGACATTATTTTGTATAACTGAATTAAAATGATGTTTTTACAGGTGAGCGATGCATACTTTTAGGCGCTTGGAATGAAAACCCTTTAAATAATATGTCATTTTTTGGGAAATGTTTTGAGTATGACTTCTAGGAGGATTGTGACGAAACTTTTAAGACTAGAATATGTTAACGATTTTTTTGGAGTTACAAGGATTTATAACCATGACTTTTTGATTTTTTTTAAACACCCGGGTCTCAAATGCACGTTTTTTAGGATTATTAGGTAAGATTTAGGCTTTTAACTTCTTATAGGACACAAGGTAGAATTTTATGGCAAATCATTTTGTAGAATATTTGAACTTGTGGAAATCCAATTTTAAGGGAGTTTTAAACCTATTTTGAAAGGACTAAAAAGGGGTATTTTTGGCTCACTTGAGCATTAAAATTGTCCACCAAAATAATCCTTTTGCTTTTATTTTTAATATTACCAAAGACCTCGTATACCTAAAATGCATGGATTACAAGGAATCTTATTTCGAAAATGTCCAAAAGTCAGGAAAGCGGGGAATTCACCCCTTCAATTTAGGTTACTTTGCGGTGTAAACTTTCAAAATGCCGATACACATGTCTTCTTTTTTAGTTCGGTTTTCATGATCTGCTGGATTTTCGTCGTAATTATTGAAAAATGTAAATTTAAATTCTGTCGAACAGTATTATTATGGCCCCAAAAATATATCCCAAGGATCGTGGTAAACAGTATTTTGCGAGGCACTTTTTAAACATTATTTTCCAAGAATTTTTAGGACCTTGGATTTTTTAAGGAGTATTTTCCCAAGATTATTAGGGACTCTTGAAATATTATGTGGATTTTTAAAGAATATTTTCCATGGAATGTTCGGACCTTAAGCGAAAATGTTTTAGAGAACATTTTCCAAGTGTCTCAAAGATGGACTTGTTATAGATTATTTTCCAAGTAATTAAGCGTGGATGTCATAGACAATATTTTCCAAGGTCCTCAAACGTGGACTTTTTAAAGTTTATTTTCTGAGAATTATTGGGGTATTAAAAGTGGATCTTTCAAATTTTGTTTCTTAGGACCCTATACGTGGATTTTTTTAAAAAATATTTTCAAAGGGTATATGAGGACCTTAGAGAATTTTTGTTCAAAGACCTCAAATGTGGACATTTTAAAGATTATTTTCCAAAGACCTTAAACGTGGATTTTTTTAAAGAATATTTGCCAAGGTCCTGAAATGTGGACATTTTAAAAATTATTTTCCGAGGATTAGGACCTTAAACGTGGATTTTTTAAAGAATATTTTCAAAGGACCTTAAACATTTTAGAGATTATTTTCCAAGGATTAGAATCTTAAACGTGGATTTTTTTAAAGATTATTCTCCAAGGATTAGGACCTTAAAAGTTTTAGAGAATATTTTCCAAGGATTAGAATCTTAAACGTGGATTTTTTTAAGATTATTTTCCAAGGATTAAGACCTTAAACGTGGATTTGTTTAAGGAATATTTGCAGAGGATATATGAAGACATTAGAAAATTTTTGTTCCAGGACCCCAAATGTGGACATTTTAAAGATTATTTTCCAAGGATTATAAGGACATGAATCTTGGTCTTTGGTCTATTATTTTACAAGGATTATTAGGACATCAAATGTGGAATTTTAAAGAATATTTTTTAAGGATTATTATGGCCTCAAACGAGGATTTTTTTAAGGAGTATTTTCAAAGGATATATGAGAACCTTACAGAGTTTTTTAAAGGACCTGAAACGTGACTTTTTAAATATTATTTTCCAAGGATTTGGTCCTTACACGTGGATTTTTTTAAAGAATACTTTCAAAGGATATGTGAGAACCTTACAGAGTTTTTTTCAAGGACCTCTAACGTGGACTTTTTACAAATTATTGTCCAAGGATTAAGACCTTAAACGCGGATTTTTTCAAAGAATATTTTCAAAGGATATATGATGAGCTTAAAGAATTTTTGTTTAAGGATCTCAAATGTGGTCAATTTAAAGATTATTTTCCCAGGACCTTAAACGTAGATTTTTTTAAAGAAAAATTTCAAAGAATATCTGAGAACCTTACAGAGTTTTTTTCAAGGACCTCAAATGTGGACTTTTTGGAGATTATTTTACAAGGATTTTAATCGTAGAATTTTTTAAAGAATATTATCAAAGTACCTTACAGAGGTATTTTCAAGGACCTTAAACGTGGGCTTTTAAGAGATTATTTTCCAAGAATTAGGACTTCAACGTGAATTTTTTTTAAGAAAACCTGCAAAGGTCATATGATTTTCGAAGGATTAGCTATGTCTTAAACGTGGACCTTTTAAATATTTTCCGAGAAATATTAGAGCTCCAAAGCCGAAGAATATTTCCCATGGATTATAGAGACCTCCAGCATAGATATATGAAGAATATTTTTAACGTCAAACGTGTATTTTTAATTATTATTAGTAATTAATTATTATTCATTTTTTATTTAATTATCATTTTCCAAGGATTATTGGGTCCTCAAATTTGGAGTTTGTAAAGAATATTTTCAAAGGATTATTTGGCCCTTAAAAGCGAATTTTTCAAAGAATATTTCCCAAAAATTATAAGGACCCCCAGAATGGATTTATAAAGCATATTTTCAAGTTTTCAAACCAGGATTTTTGAAGATTACTTTCCAGGGGTCTTAAAAGTGGACGTTTTGAAGATTATTTTCCAAGGATTTTTAAGGGCAACTTCAGACTGCTGTCATTTCTAAGCCACTCGACCGACAGCTGTTAAAATTATTCCAGTGACAGTGCAAGAATTTAGAC